GTGATATTTATCATGTAACTTGAGTAACAGAGTGTATGTATATATATATATATATATATATATATATATATATGAATGGGGACAGGATGTTGAGAGGTTAAAAATTGTTTATAGCTTTTGTACTATTATTGTGAATTTATTGTAATCATTGTCAAAACAATAAATAGAGTATCCACAAAAAAAAAAAGAAATGGAAGGCAGGGAAAGTCAGGCATTTTATGTTGGGCAGGTCATCTCATGGAGGCCGCCATGTAAAGAAATGGAAACTTTTGCATGATGCTTCACCGACCTGATTTGAGTCAGCACTACACTACACAAACTACAACAATACAATCTGCATAAAGTGGAATTATTGCTAGAGCAGTTTACTGCATGAGATGAAATGTGAAGTGTGATGTTAAAAGTAGCTTCTTAATACTACAAGTTACCATCAACCATCAGAGTACCATAATCACCCAGCAACAGAAAAAGAAAATGTATGATTTGTTAAAAACATGTTTGAGGGCGGGGTTTAGCTCATCTGTTGTCCCGTATGTTGCCCTCTTCCGTCTTGCAGCGTTTTGTGTTCAGGCTACAGGAGGCCAGACGTGAACTCGACGGACGAACAGAATAATAGAGATCAGGGACATCAGGGTGAAAACCATGCTCAAACTCGCTGTAGTCGCTCTTGTGCTTCTCAGCGCCAGCTGTTTTGCCAAACAATGTAAGTGTAAAGAATCTGTTTTCTGACGCGTTCTTATCTACTCTTCTTATTATGTTTATTTTTATTAATTTTATTTGTATTACTATCTTATATTTCCATTCGTTATACGCGGTCTTTATCAAATACGTTTGAATCCCTAAGTAGTTTTAAAAAATATTATGTTTTTCAACCTTAATAGTGTATGACGTACTTTCATCTGCTATGGAGAATACAAAGGATAAAACCCTTGAAATAGTTAAAAGCATAGGTAGTTGCCAAAACGCTGAAAAAGAAAGAAAGAAATAAAGTATTTTTGTAACTTTAAAAAGCTTGTGAAAATCTGTCCAGAGAATTAAACATGTCTAAGACATGTTTGTTTGTCTGAAATCCCCTGAACATTTTACTTTCACTTTCACTTTCACTTATATGCATAGCTACTCGTGATAGAAAAACTCGTTTTACTGGATATTAATGGTTGGTGGTTATAAAGTTACATTGATATGACACATGATATCATGATATTTAATCAGGTTTTTGTTTCTTTAAGAAAAGATGCTTGTGTTAAAATTAGTTATAATAACTGCACAAATAAATAACTATTCCTAAATAGATAAACATACTGCACATGGGTCAAAGTCGAGACGTCCCATTTTGGTGCCTGCATCAAATTCAATTTATAAAAGTGATTTAATATACAAGCATAATGAATGCAAGTAAAGTGTCTACTTTAATGTTTCTAATAACTTGTGTGAAAATAAAATGTCACAATATGGGTGAAATAACATTCCATCGTCATTCAGTGTAACAGATATATTTATGTAAAAACGAAAACGTACACTCTAAAAAAATGCTGGGTTGTTTCAACCCAACTTTGGGTCAAACATGGACTAACCCAACCGTTGGGTTACATTTTTACATTAAATTTTTAACCCAAAAGTTGGGTTAGTCCATATTTGACCCAAAGTTGGGTTGAAACAGCCCAGCATTTTTTAGAGTGTACTTATTCTGACCTGTACTTATTAAAATATATATATAAAAATGCGATTATACTAAATTGTATTATATTTTAAATGAATAATAACTTATTGTTGACAAAAAGTAGTTTGAAGGATCGTGACAAAGACTGGTAAAGACTTAAAATGACAATGAATTACACTCTAAAAAATGCTGGGTTAAATACAACCCAGTGCTGGGTAAAATTCCTTTAATAGCGTCTTTTAATGTCATCTAAGGATTCTTATACTTAATATGCCTGGCAGGATTTTCATTATATGAACTATTGTACTATTGAATGACATTTTAGTGGGTGTCTTCTGTAAATTATGGTAAAACTGTATGATAGTCATTATTTTTTGCTCAGAAAAAAAAAGTTAATTAAATTAAACAGGAGTCGGGACATATTCTAAAATCCCTTTTTGTCTCTGATCCGCATGCTTGGATGAATAAATGAATAAATAAGATGGCCTAAATAAAACATAAGGACAGACAATAAACATTTCCAAACATAATACATGCAATACAGTATCTAAGAATGAACAGTTTTCAGATGCCAAAATATCAGTGTTTCCTTTTGTATTGTTTCTAGCTGACCCCAAAGTGCAGGTGTACAGCCGCAACCCTGGAGAGTATGGGAAGAAAAACGTGCTGATCTGCTACGTCAGTGGCTTTCACCCCCCTGACATCACCATTGAGCTCCTGAAGAATGGGCAGGAGATCCCGAACAGCCACCAGACCGACCTGGCCTTCGAGCAGGGCTGGCAGTTCCACCTGACCAAGCATGTTGATTTCACCCCCCAGGCTGGAGAGGAGTACAGCTGCAGAGTCCAACACATGGTCAACACAAAGACCTACACATGGGGTGAGAACAGATCTGAGGTCTTTATCTTATGAGCCCCATTGTTGGTGATTTTCAGTGTCGATGAATTCCAGAAAGTGGTAGATAAAGGTCAGATGTTGGTTCATTTAGGAGCTGTTTGAGTATTTCTCACTTTCATAGACATCTGTGTATTGGATTGTGGAGTTTAATTAGTCTCTTTCGTGTTAATTATAGTTTTGGGAGTCGTTAAGTAGTCACATAACACATTTTAATTATCATACAAAAGTGAACAAAATGTCCTTAAAACCAAATATTTGAAAGGAATAATATTACTATGAACCACACCGATCCAACAAATTGAATTGAATTGAATTGAATTGAATTTAATTTAATATGGCCACATTTTATTTTATATATTTTAATAAGTACAGGTCAGAATAACTATGTTGTTTCATTTTTACATAAATATATCTGTTATGCTGAATGATGATGGATAATTTTACCCATATTTTGGCCTTTTATTTTCACAAAAGTTATTAGAAACATTAAAGTAGACACTTTGCTTGCATTTAAATGCTTTATATGTATATAAAATCACTTTTGTAAATTTAATTTGACGAGAACCCCAAACTGGGACTTATATGATGATACAAATTAAATTAGCTACTTTTTTTAAATGAAATGAACAAGGATCTATAAATGAAACTAATGTTTGTTTTCTCTCTTGTAGAACCTGACATGTGAACGTCCAACAGTAAGTTCTGATAATACTGTTTTTTTAAAGGCTTTAACATGTATTAATAGTAATTGTAATTTACCACACTTTATGTAATCTAGCATACCTTTCAAATTATGTTGGTTCATGTATTCAGTTGTTTTTAGCATGATCTTTTATTAGTCACTGTGTGTTAAATGTATTTCGTTCTTCACAGATTCCTGGAAATAACAGTTCATTCTCTTCAGCTTCTCTCCGAAACGCCAATCCTGCTTCGATTTCATTTTATAAATCAGGGGTGTCCAGGCCTGCAGAGCTGTTTCAACACACCTGCCTGGAAGTCTATAGTAACTCTGAAGACCTTTATTAGCAGGTTCAGGTGTGTTTAATTGGAGCTAAACTCTGCAGGATAGTTACAGCAGTAGATCCACCCCTGCTATCATATCTCAGCTTCTCTGTTTAGGACAGGGGTGTCTGATCCTGCTCTAGGAACACTAATCAAACACTCCTGAACCAGGATCGGACACCCCTGCTTTAGGATATGCTGCCTGTGTTGCAGACTGCAATATGTTTACTTTTACACGATGAAGACAAATGTCTAACTTTATATATACTTCAATTTTCTTTTTTTGGGTGTGTGTCTTGACATAATTAGTAGGGCGACTGATGAAGAACAGTCACTATGCCTGCAGTGTACACTAGTCAACATTTGAAGTGGATCAAAACCTTTCATCAAAGTTGTCCTAAAACCTAAAACCAAAATGCGTTCTTGTCTTAGGACGAACTTTTTTTGATCCACTTCAAATGTTGACTACTGTATATCAGCAATTTTCTAAAACCTTGGGTGAGGAATTGTCTTTATAACATTAGCACGTAAACATCTTAATGTCTTTTGTTTTGAAATGTATTTAAAATGAATTTGAAGATTCAGGAGAGGTGACTTTTTTTTTTGACAATTGAATTGGTATAATTCTTGCATACACATGTTTTTAGTGTTAAATAGCCTATAGCTTCCAGCTTTTGGAAAGATTTATTGTCAAATTCTGTTCATGATGTATGAACATCACTGACTGTAGAATTCATAATGCCTTGTAATTCAGTTCAATAAAATATTTTCCCTTCTTAATTACGCGTCTTTATTCAACGCAACTTTAAAAATGAATTGTGAACCTCATATTTGTGTCTTGGTCTTGTGGCCTTGATCGGGGTCTCAAATTAAATTCTAATCCAGAATCTGAGTTGTATGGTCTCAGACAAACTGCTGTCTGTTTCAAGTGTAGCCTATTTGGTATTGGTTTCTTTTTCATGACCCCATTTTGGAGGTCTCCTGTCTTCTTCTGTGTCCCACCTCAGACAAGAGTCTTTCTATGTCTTTTCATTTTCTGTATTTTGCGAGAGTTTACCATATTACATTTTAATGACAATGCAAAATTTTAGTATTCTTTATGAAAACATGTATATTGTTTATATAAAATAATTATGTGATTTGATTGAAGTCGTTAAAAAGCACAGTCTGCTCATTGGTCTGGCTGAGGCGCAACATTCCCCGCGCATGCGCAGATCAGTGTAGTCGACGTCCTGTCCGTGGGGAACGTCGGCTGATAGTTCACGAATGTTAAGCGAGATCATTATCTATTCTTTATTTTGTATTTAATTGTGTAAATGTGAAGATGATTCTTACAGTAAAGCCGCTTCAAGGGAAAGAGTGTAATGTCCAGGTAAGCGTGAGTGTCGTGAGGTGTTTTGAGGCGCTAATGTGGCTGTTAGCTGCTTTAGCATAGCGCTGGGCTGCGGCTTTCTTTCCATCACTCTCTTGTATGTTATGTTTCTTTTGTCCTGGCCAATCATTTATAGATAATGATACAACCTGCGGTTTCTGCTGTAGCTCACTAGAAATGATTTACACTCTCCAGACAGTTATTTTGTCCACGATATAATAGCTGTGTCACCAAACCAATGGAGCTGCTTAACTTACCTAACTTGGATGGCAAGTTACTTACTGCCAAAGACTAGTTAGTTAGTTACAGTTAGTTAAGGATCTAGTAGATCAAGCAAACGTGAGACAACTGCTAATGGATTAGATTCTCTGTATGAGAACCTTTTTTTGTATTGTGGTTCTGTCTATTTTATTAATTAATAATGTACATAATATATGTACGACACACATCTAAAACCATAGAAACATTGGTACTTGAAATAAAATAAACATTAACTGCAATTAAAAAAAAAACACTACTGGTCAAAAGTTTGGAATAATGATTTTTAAAAAAAATCAAGTATTAGAATATTATTACATGTTAATGTAATATAATATAACAAAGATATATAATAATACAGTACTTAATTGCAATATATTTCATTATAATACGGTATTATAATAATATTGCAATTTAAAATAAAAAAAAAACTTTTAATTCTGTATTTTCAGCAGCTTTTACCATTCTTCATGTGATCCTTCAGTAATTGTTTTATTATGCATAGTTAGACTGACACACAGAAAGCACACAGAAAGTGTGTAAATCATTTCATTATTTTATCCGTTATTTAATTATCTATCTAACTATCTATATACACACACACACACACACACACACACAGATGACGTGACATGTGGCCAAGTATGGTGACCCATACTCGGAATTAGTGAACCCGCAACCTTTGGGTTACGAGTCCGACTCTAACCATTAGGCCTTGACTTCCCCTAGATAGATAGATATTTGAATGAACTGTGCTAGTGAATTGAAATATGCAGTGCTTTTGTCAGCAGTTGTGTTCTTTTCATGCACAGGTGACAGAAAATGAAAAGGTATCAACAGTGAAAGAGTTGGTATCAGAGCGTTTAAACATCCCTCCCAGTCAGCAGAGACTGCTGTATAAAGGAAAAGCACTTGCAGGTAATGCATTTTTTTGCCAGATGTTTGCCAGTACATGTATTTATAATTTAGAGTAGCACTATTTTTATTTCCTCCTACAGTGTTTTTCTGAGACTTTGACTGGCAGCGTTCCAGTCATTGCACTTGAGGTGTGTTGTGTTCGTCATTGTGATGCTCGATTTGCTGTTTTCAGATGAACACCGGTTGAGCGATTACTGCATCGGCCCGGAGGCCAAGCTGAATCTGGTGGTGCGTCCGGCGGGCGAGAGGAGCGGCGGCGCGGTGGGAAACAGCAGCGGTAGTCCTGATAAAGCAGCCAGTGGTGTGTGGCAGTTATTGTCAACTGTCCTGGCCAAACATTTCAGCCCAGCCGATGCAGCCAAAGTGCAGGAGCAACTTATTAAGGTACGTTCAAGAAAAAAATAAATTCTATTGCAATATTTTTCTTTTTCTTTCCATTTCTTTTTATTACTTTTTATTGTAATCTGAATGCGAGTGATTTAAAATATAAAGGGGATCCCTAATATGAAGGCTATAAGAAGACCCATATATGCTATGTGTGGGGAAGAAAAAAATCACTGTTAAAAGACAAACGTTTGCATAAAAAAATATTTGATTGTAATTCCAAAGAAACAATAAAAGTATTATCTGGAAAATATTTACTTCTGTATTAAGTTGACAGCTGTTTATTAGACTGTTTATTAGAGTAATTTTATATACACTAGTCAACATTTGAAGTGGATCAAAACTTTTCATCAAAGTTGTCCTAAAACCAAAAATGCATTCTTGTCTTAGGACAACTTTGATTAACTTTTTTAATACACTTTAAATGTTGACTACTATATATATTTACAGTGGTATATATTTACAGGTTACAGTGGCCACAAGAAACTTCTTGATCAGTGTTATTTATGTTTTATATACTGTTATTGTATTACAAATTTTAAATTATCTTTTTATTTTTAGATTTGTAGTTAATTTTTTTTTGTTATTTTATAATTTTTTTAAATTTCTATTTTGCTTTTTTTAATTTCATTTATAGTTTTAGTAATTTTAGCACTTCATCTTAAACTTATTTTCACTTAGTTGGCAAAGCACTTCTAATTTTTATTTAAGTTTTGTTTAATTTTTATATTTTCAGCTTTATTTCATTTAACTAGAGATGCACCGATTACCTGTGTGGCCAGTTCCGATTTCCAATTTTTTTTGTTGTAAGTGTGACCTGCCGATACCGATTTTTGCCAATTCCGATTTTGTTTATAAGAACTATAATTGACAGTATATACACACAAAAATCTACTTTTTTTTCCAATGCAAAAAATGTTCTAAATAAAAAAAAAAATGTATTACACGTTACAATTCCCCCGATCTGGACTAAGTTACAAATGTTCTCTCACTTCAACAACTCTCAAAATAAAGTGCTTTGTGACTGGAAATAGGTCGAAATAACAATTAGTTATTGCTTTATATAACTCTGATTTAATACAACTCTTTTTATTAGAGTTGCTGTATATAACAAAACAGATGTCATTTCCCACTGTTTATAAATGGTCATTTTTTTCCCCTATCCTTATTAAATGTCATCTTCCACATCAAATTCTTACATTGTTTCAATTAATTCAGTTAGAATAATAAGAAACTGTAGAGTTGTTACTATTCGAATGAAATCAGTATCAACAAACTCCATCTTTCTACTGCAGGAAGCACAGAAGCTGCATCTGATGTGGCATTAGATGTATTTACTGTTTAATAAAGCTGGGGTGCCATTAATGCATTTACACCACAAAATTGCAAAGAAAAAGAAAGGTGGCGCTCGCGAGCACCCTTCTGAAAGCTAAATGACAAATGGGACGCCCTACAGTCTCATGGACTTAACGGACACGCGCACGCAGCGGCCATTGAAAGTCTTCAAGACCGAAAGTGCACATGAAGTGTGCCATTTGGGACAGGGCCTGACTGTCTGCATGAATGGGTTCATGGGGTTGAATCATTGGCTTACTTGATTCATTCAAAACCGTGGATTCATTCAGTAACGAAACACCGCTGTGTTGCACAATTCTCTCTTTCTCACTCTAGAATAGGCTGAGCGAGCTTCATCTGGCATGACAAATACTGTACATCATCAGTCGCCGTTTACACTGAATGCAATAAAATAAGAATCATTCTGGTGCAAACATTTTTTTTTCCCAAGTTTCAGTGTTTGCTTAGTTATTTTTGCTATTGATGTTTTAGTCAGGCTTCTTGTCTGGTCGGGCAAGTGAAATTCTCTCTTACTTGCCCCTTTAAAAAATCGACTTGTCCCAGATAGGGGTGTGCGATATTGACAATGATATTTCAATATTTTCTGGGATTTTATCGATAACGGTAATTAGAAGATATTTGTGTTGTAAGTGTGTTATTGACTACTATGTAATGTTTTCGATATTCTTCATATTCTGTGTGGTGGTCAGTTCTCAACAGTGATAGAAATTAATCTTTTTCAATAAGTTTAAATTAATTTGTACCTTTTTCTAGGCATTTTTACCTTTATACGAGTTCATATCTCGCAATTCTGACTTTATGACACGCAATTGCGAGTTTATATCTCGCAGTTCTGACTTTATAACTCGCAATTTTGACTTAACTCGCAATTGTGTGTTATAAAGTCAGAATTGCAAGATATGAACTCGCAATTCTGAGAATAAAAGTCAGAATTGTGAGATAAAAAGTCACAATTACCTTGTTTTATTTTTTATTCAGTGGCGGAAAACAGGCTTCCATAGAATACTGATATTTGAAATTATTAAGAAAAATAAAAAGATACTTTAAAGGGGTCCTATTATGCTCTTTTACAAAGTCTTGATTTTGTTTTGGGGGTGTACTAGAACAGGCTCTCATACTAGGTTGTTCGAAAAACATAATTTTTCACATATTTTACATTATTACAACACCTCTCTCCCCAGTCTGGCACGAACGGCTAGAATAGTTCCTGTATCAAATGAAGGCCCGCCTTCTGAAATACGAAATGTGCTGTGATTGGTCAGCTGGGCCAGTGTGTGCTGTGATTGGTCAGCTGGGTCAGTGTGTGTTGTGATTGGTCAGCTGGGCCAGTGTGTGCTGTGATTGGTTAGCTGGGCCAG